TGTAAGGACACCAACCCCTTGAATATCATGTATACTACAAATATGTTTTCTGGACTATTTGCCTTTTAACTTTGTGGTTTCTTTTTTTTTACTTAGACATTTACATTTTTAATTTTATAAATTTTGCTTTGGTGCATTCTTAAAAAGCAATTCCCACAAAATATTACATACTTATCTATCTTTTGTTAGCACTTTTATATTAAAATTTTTAACGCACAAATTATGTTGGCATAATTTGTCTGAGCTTTCCCCCCTTTTTTTGAGACTCTGTCACCAGGCTGGAGTGCAGTGGCAAGATCTCAGCTCACTGCAAACTCCAGCTTCCTGGTTCAAGCAATTCTCCTGCTTTAGCTTCCTGAGTAGCTGGGATTCCAGGCGCACACTACCACGCCCAGCTAATTTTTGTATTTTTAGTAGATACAGCATTTCACCATGTTGGCCAGGATGGTCTCGATCTCTTGACCTTGTGATCTGCCTGCCTCGGCCTCCCAAAGTGCTGGGATTACAGGTGTGAGCCACCACGCCTGGCCCTACATTCTTTATTGAATAGTTTTAACTTTCCTGCTTGATTTGAAATCTCAAATCAAGGGATGGGATGGTAGTTATATCAAAATTTCTTATATGCTTGGGTCTGCTTCTGAATTTCCAAGTTATTTAATTAATCTGTCTTTTTTGGATTCAGTTTTAATTATCAGAGTTGTTTTAATATATTTTAAGAGTTGAAAAGGCAAATGCCTTCTTGTTAGTCTTCCTTTTTCTCTTTTTTTCTCTGGTTATTCTCACACATATCGTCTCCAAATAAAATCTAGTCAAGTTTGAAAAAAATATATTGGAAGCTTAATTGAGATTACATTCAATTCACAGCATGATTTGTCAGTATTAACATCTTTAAATACCAGATCATTTCATCATAGAACATGATACTTTTTTTTACAATCATTCAAATATCCCTTTGTATTCCTGAGTAGTGCTGTAGCTCTTATGTAGGTTTTAGTCATTTATTGAGAAGTTCATATCTAGGCATTAAATTTTTATGACTATTGTGAAGCATGTATTTTCTAAATGGTTATAGATGTGTTATTATTTTTTGTGTGCTGATTTTATAACCATCTACCTCATTGAAGCTTCTTGTTAATTTCTAATATTTCCTCATGCATTTTGCAAGCAGAGAGCTAAATCATCTAAAAATGATGATGAGGCTGGGTGCAGTGGCTACGCCTGTAATCCCAGCACCATGGGAGGCCAGGCTGGATTAGGAGGATCGCTTGAGACCAGGAGTTCGAGGCTACAATGAGCCATGATTATGCCACTGTACTCCAGCTTGGGTGACAGAGAAAGACTCCGTCTCAAAAAAAAAAAAAATGATTATGATTTTCTCTGGATTTTCCAACATTAATTCCTGTTATTTCATTTTCTTTACTATTGTATAAATTGGTAATTCTAGAACAATGTTAAACAGTCATAATAAGTAGACATCCTTGTTTCATCCTTGGATTTTAATGAAAGTGTTTTCCATGTTTATGGTTAAGCATGATGCTGGCTATTGATTTTAAAAAATATGTGTGTATGTATGTGTGTGTATGTATACACAGAAATATACACATATCCACACATCTATCATGTCTGTTAGTAGCTTACATTCTTCATTTATCAAGAGTACTTTATTAACATGAATGTTTATCAAATGTCCTTTCTCAACCTATCGAGATGATAATGTGTTTTTCTATTGCCCTATTTAACAATTATTTTCAATTCAACATTGTTGACCATCTATTATGTTACTACTAATTTTACTGAAAAAAATGGAGACACAAAGATCAGCTAGGAAAGCTAAGTTATTTGGTTTCCCAGTTCTTAGAAAATTAGAAACCACCAAAGAGAAAGAAGGATGCTGGTCAGAGGCAGGTGCTGTCATTCAGCTGTGTCCAGCAAGCACAAAGAAGCTGCACAGAACACGGGTCTCCAAAGTTCACACCTTCGCTGCTCACTGAGGTCGTTTGGAGGAGCTCCTAAAAAACAAAAAAACAAGGTCCTATGCCCAAGTGAATTAGAACAGTGTGAGTGTGTGTTGGGGACATGGGGACAAATCAGGCATTCAAGTCGACAAACAGGGTAGTTAAAATAATGCTGCAGTTTAAATGATGTCCTCAACTTTGCTTTAGTAGATGCTGCCAGCTAGTTATTTGGCAAAACTGGGGTGGCTAAAGTCTGCTCAGTGATATTGCTATTATTGTTATGATCATTATATGGCCAATCTGTATAAAACTATCATTTTTGATAGGTAAAATATGGTCAAATATCAAAAATTTCATATGATAGAAAGTAATATTATTAATGATTATAATTTTTTATCTATCATACACTGGCAACTGTGTTGGTATTTCCTACAAGCCATCTAATTTAATTTCCAGTAACAACTCCATGAAGTACAGAAAACCTTCAGATGAGAAAACAAGCCCAGAGAAGTTAGGAAAGTTGTTTAAAATCACCAAGCTAGTCAGTGGTAGAGCCAGGAGTCAGATTCAGGTTAGTCTGACTCTAAATCTTATGATTTTTCTTTGACAACAGAACAGGCTTCAGTCTGTTTCATTCAATATTTTTTTGGCCATTGACTCAAGCAGGGAAGTAAAGTCTGTTTACTTCTCAGTTCCATAGAGCAGGAACTCTCAAAATATGGCTGCAGACCATCAGCGTCACCTGGGAACTTGGCAGAAACGTAAAATCTCAGGCCCCACCCAAGACCTACTAAGATCAGAAACTCCAGGGGTGGGGATGGCAGTCGGGATGATTCTGGTGCATGTTAACATTTGAGAAGCACTGCTGGGGGTGCTAACTTGTACTGAGCACCCACTGTGCACCAGATCAGAGCCATCCAAATGCCCTACGAGTTGGGGGGTTGTAATTATCTTAACTCCTATTTCCACAGAAGCAATATTGCAGCCTGACAGGGAGCAAATGGTTGCCTGAGGCTCTGCCGAGAGCAGGTGTCCAAGTCTGGGTCAGAATCCAGCTCTGACGACTGAGTCAATGGCTTTAACCACCACACTCAGTGGCATTCATCTCATCATTGTTGAGAAATACCAACATCTCCTTCTCTGCAAATAGTGAATGGATGGAGAAGAGATGGTGCTGAGGTAGAACAGGGCAGCCTTAAGACGAGGAAAAAAGGGAGCCATTGTTTTGGCATAGAAGTTCCCTTTTAGGGGACTGGGGCATTCCAGATAAGGTGCCCTTGTTTTCTTTCCCACAGGCCAGATGCCTTTATCCAGGCACTTTGCAGTGACTGCACTTCATCTGCGAATGCCCAGTGTGAGTCGGGGGCTGTGTATGTTGAGGGTCTTACTGGGGATTATCGTAAGGCAAGAATAATGGTGATATTGTTTGCAGAGCCAAGGTGGAAAATCAGACCCGGGTGGAGGATTTGTTTTTCTATCATAAAGCTGATGGGCAGGGGTGGCTCTTCAAAAGTGCACTGACTATGGTGCTAAGTCTTTCTGTGTGGAAACACTCCTGGATGACATGGGCAGATTCCCGGCTAATACTGTGCACACCCCTCTATCACCAGGCATCCAATTCCCAGTGAATTTTGCAATATAGTGACAGTAATGGAAAGCAAAATGATCTCTAAATAATGGTTTAAGATGGCTACTTGATAAAGGGCCCTGCAATAATTATGATCAATGGAGCATGGATTCAATATATATTGCCCATTTAGATGCACCAGATTAGCTTAACAGCTTTCTTTAATGTTCTGAGTATTTCGCGCTCGCGCGCGCAAGTGTGTGTATGTGTGTGTGTGCATGTGTGTGTAAGAGAGGGATGAAGGAGAGAGAGCAGAGGGGAGGAGGGAGGGAGAGAGGAGGCAGGCTGCAAGCTGCTATGAGCATTCCTCTCCTTCATACTGATCAATGTGGTTGAGGTGACACCGTGTTGAGGAGGAAAGGAAATTGAGCTTCAGAAGTTGTATGATCCATTACCAAGAGAAAGCACTCAAGTGTCATGTGTCACAGACAGAGCCTTTGTGGAGGGAGGTGGAGGCAAGGGAAAGGGCTGGGGAGAGACACCTGATATGAGTTTAGTCATTTTGCAGAGGGCACTTTCTGGATGATGATTTGGGGTAAGCACGGAAATTAGGCATGTAGGCAGCCAGCCAAAAGAATCCCTCCCTATCCCGGGATGCAAGTGCCATAAACTAAGTGAGCTAGACAGCTGGGCCGACCATGGAAATGTGTTTTACCATGAGGGGTAATGGTTTACTTGACACTGGTCCTAATCCTCCCCTCTCCAGCCCCCCAAGGAGGGATATTTTCTGTGACAGTCTGTCTAGAAATCTGGGTCTGTTCCCTACCTTTTATGTTGCTGGGCTGGTCCCAGGTAATGTACAGGGTCTGTGATCAGCGTGTAATGATGAGGGCAGCATGCCATATGGGCTGAAATTCCTTGGTATAATAAGGATAAAATGATTGCAGTCTTAGTCCTGACTTGCTTTGATTTGTCAGTTAAAATAACAACCCCTTCTCTGCCCTTTCATGAAGGACATCAGTAGGAAGTGTCACTGTTTCACATGATGAGAAGCCAGACCCTAAACCTGCTAATCTCCCCCAATGCGCCTGCTGATTGTGAGTTGCTAATTGACTCGGTGATTTTCAGGTCTGGAAAGGCAGCTGGAGTTTAGATGATAATAACACAGCTAATGCTCACTGAGCATGTACTGCGTGCTGGAGGCTTCCTTGTGGTATTCTCAAACTGTGATGTCCACATCAATCTCTGGGGAGCTGATTAAAATGCAGATTCTGATTCAGTAGGTCTGGGGTGGGGCCTGAGGGTCCATGGTTCTTGCAGAGTTCCAGGTGGTGCCAATGCTGTGGGTCAGCAGACCACACTTGGAGTAACAGGGGTCCAATGATAAATCTCATTAGATTCTCACATGTACCCCATGAGGGGGTACCATTATGAATCTCATTTTTATAGGGGAAGAAATGAATGGAAGCTTAAAGAGGTTAAGTGTCTACAGAATGCTTCACAGCTCTTTAATGACAGATTTGTGATGGAAAACTGGGCATTTCATCCTTCCCTCCCACTTTTTCCCCTCAGCCGTAACCATGGAGATATGCATAGTACGATGCATTACAGAATCCTGAGCTAGAAGCAGCCTGGGTTCCTGAGTGACTGTGTGGAGGAGAGATGTCCTGCAGAGTCATCCAACCCAGATAGCATGAATAAGAAATGGACTTAGCTGTATAAAGCTACTGAGATGTCAGGAGTTGTGTGTGGCCACAGCTGGCTGCATTATCCTGACAAGCATGGACTCTTGGCCGCTGTGCTCAGGCTGATGTGTGTACCTCGCAATGCCCACTTGCCTTTAGTCATCAGGCATCCAGCTTCGTCTGGAGCATCAGATTGTGAATGAGCTGTCCCAATGGGGCCCTCTAGGAGTCCTGAAAGAAGGGAAGGTGATTTGTGTGACTTTTGAGCTTTTAAAGTAGAAAAGCTCTGTCTGAGGACCTTATCAAGAGCTCATCAACACCTCAGACCCATTTTCAAGTGCTTCAGACCTGAAAACTACCCAAAGGGTAGTTTTCCAAGTGCTTTCTCTCCCACCTTAATTATTTAGATTGTATAACATTTGGGTAAAATCTAATCCAGATGTTTCTGATTCATTTAAGTTTAAATCACCAGAAAATGCTCTTAAGTTGCTATTTGATGTTGAAGAGGTTTTTCAAGCATTTTCCCCCCTTCTTAATATGAGAGGTCACATTTGGGTAGGGGTAAACGAGTCCCATGCACCTAGAGGCTTCATCTGATTTGATTTGAAAACCCGTTTTGGTGAAATGTGAGTCAGAACTCAATTTTACTTTGACCTCCTTTTCAAATCCCTACCTCGGCCGTCTCAAAGGGAGAGCTGGAGTAATTTGCATGCAGTTGATAACAGGGATTCTTGTTTGAAAAAATAATACCCCCAGACCTGGCCTTTTCTGGCCCTGTGGTCTGATTGGAGCTGGCAAGTGGCCACTCCCTGTTTGAACTACAGGAGAAACAATTCAGTCCAGGTGAGCATGCTGATTTCACTTCATTTTGCTACCTCGGTATTTGCTCAGCTGAAGCAAATCAATCTGACACCAAGTGTCTGAGAACTGATAAATGAGGCTGGGCTCAGTGGCTACGCCTGTAATCCCAGCACTTTGGAGGCCAAGGTGGGAGGATCACTGGAAGTCAGGAGTTTGAGACTAGACTGGGCAACGAAGTGAGACCTCTTCCCACCCTGCCCACCCCCACCCTATCTCTACTGAAAAAAAAAACTGAATAAAAGAGTTTTTAATGCAAGGTTATCATCAATGGTCCAAGGCAGTGATTTTCAAAGAGTAGTCCCCAGACCAGCAGTGTCAACATTGCATAGGAACTTGTGTATTCTCTAAAAAAAAAAAAATCACAGAAGAAATGCATTTTCAAGAACCTCATCCTAGACCTACTGAATTAGAAACTCCTGGGGCGGGGCCCAGCAGCCAGTGTTGTAATAAACCTTCCAGGTGATTCTGATGTGCCCTGAAATTTGAGAATCACTGGCCTAGGCCCCTGGGTAATGCTTGTTATCTTACTCAGTCATACTTGTTACTTGCTTTGAAGGAATTAATGAGATAACGTTGTCACATGAGTCAGGACACTCAGACCCAGGCTATATTTACACGGGCTGTAAGAGTGACTTTTTTGATTGAGTTGGAAGACCAAAGAAATCAAACAACTTCTTGAGTTGATTTTTCCCCTCTCGGAATTGACTTTTTTTTTTCTTTTTCAGTGTCTGCATTGAATGATTGTTTAGAGGTCGTATAGATACAGCCAAGAGGTCTGTTTTAAGCAGCAGCAGCAGCAGCCTCAAGGTAAACTCCGATAGCCACTGTCATTTTCTGGAGCTTAGAAAATATAATTTCCTCCGCAGTCTTTTCTGATGTGCACTTAGAAGGACCACTGGGTTTGGCAGGTTCTATGAGAGAAGCTCTTCTCCTGAGTTCATTCATCCAGCCTTACATTCCTCCAATGGTGATGGAGCTGCTGCATTCTGGCACTATCCTAGAAGGGCTTGTGAATTGAAACCAGAGGCCAAGGTCGAAACCTCTATGTTTAGCCAAAAAGTTTCTAGATCAGAGATTGTCAAGGACAGGTGAACAAATGGTCAATAATACAAAGCTCTGTATAAGCAATTCCTGGGGTGGGTGGTGGAGTAGCTGTGCGGGGCTTCCCAGAGAAGGTGCCGCTTGGGTCTCAGAGGATGAGAAAGGGTTTTCTGGGGAGGCAGGGGTGGTGAATAAAGAGGCACGGGTCGTGCATAAAGAGGCATGGAGCCAAGAGCGAGGACTGCAAGTGTTTCAGGATGTCTTGCATTCGGGGAGCATGAGGGAGAGAAGCAGCTGGAGACGCTGTTAGGACCAGGTCACGAAAGGTCTTATACAACATGCTAAGTTCCTTCTGGTCTTTGGCATCCCAGTTAAGCGTATCCTCCTCAAGGAGCATCCACGGAGCATCCATGTTGTCTGTGTCACCTGTCACTCATGCCTCTCTTTTGGCGGTCTTGGTACTTGGAAAGGCAGTAAGATGCAGTAGAAAGAAACAGAGTACAGACTCAGAAGACCTAGGATTGAGTTCCAGCTCAAAGCAGTGAAGATAAGTACCCCACACACACCATACCCTGCTGCGTTGATGGTGGCAGTGACATTGTCATCACCCTACTGAGTCACCCACGAGGTGGAAATCGAAATGTTCTGCCTTGCATCCCATGTGCCTGCACCCTCCTTTCAACTTTCTCCTCTTGCTGTTATCAGCTGCGGGATGAGACAGCTCGACTGTTTCTCTGTGTGGTCATGATCATTCCCTCTGCTCAGGTCCTTACTCCTGCCCATCTCAGAACATGCCACCTCCATGAACCTTCTCTGGACACCCCAATCCACAGAAAGCCATCCCACGAATGTTCAGAACATCTTGTCTGTCCTTTCATTGTGTGGGACCTCAGGGCTGTAGTTTTTATCTGGGTGCTATTGGGGTTTACGTTTTCTCTCCCCAACTTGAGGGAAGAATCCTTCGCATAGACTCCAGTGAAGTCTAGGCACCAAATGAATACATGGTCACCTGGGAGGCTGGCGCCCCACTGCATCCTTGAAAAGAATGATGCGAATAGCTCAGTGTTATTTTTCACAGGGAAAATAAACCATATGTCACATACTAACCATAAACATTTAGGACTTTTTGGGGAGGCAGGGTATATGAAAGATGAATTCTTTGAAAATGTAGGTGTATATTTCAAGAATGCAAATCTGATCACGTGACTCCCCTGCTGAAAACCTTTAGTAGCCCCACGTTCCTCTTGGGATGAAGTTCAAATTCCTCGTTATGACCCCAACCCTGTGCAGCATGGGCTTGTCCACCCTGTGATTCCCTCTTCTAGCCCTCTGCCTCGTAGTCCAGGCTCCTGCCATGATAAAGGGTTCCTGGGGTCTTGAATGGGCATTTCCTCCCACTACTGCACTTTTGAGCAACAATCAGACTCTGTGTCCTCCTCAGTTACTTGGCTAACTCCACCCACAAATGCCCGGAGCTTATGTGTCACCTCCTGCAGAAAATGGCCTCCCTGATCCTCTTGATCTAAGAGCTCTCCTGTGTGTCTTATAGGATCATGGACTGCCCCTTTTATCACATTCATTGCATCTATATTGTGGCTGTGCTTATTCTCCCTAGACTATGTCCTCCGTGAGGGTAGGAACTCCTTCTAGTTCGTGATGGGTCAGTGGGAGGTTCTTGATTTTTGGTTCCATGAACAAGTGAATGAGTGCTTTGCTGAAAAGAAGAAACCAACAGCTTGCAGGTTAGAATAACATTCGCTATGCAACACCAGTAAGTAAAGACCCAGCTTGAGATTATCTGTCGCTTTTGGGGACTAGAGCAGGGAATGCATTTGTACCTGTAATAAAAGCATCTTTGACCAAGAGTTCCAGCAAATCCTCTTAAATGACTCCATTTCTGTGCTTTTATTGACATGCATTCTTGCTACTGAAAACCTGTCATGACAATTTCACATTTCAAAGTGCTGAAAGAATGTGCCTAGGTTGAAACTTTCTTTCGTTTGCCAGGATGTCAAGTTTTATTCCTGGGTGCATTTTTTTTTCCCAGCCAGCTTTTCTCTCCTTGATAATGGAGGGTTGTAATGGAAATGCTGCTGGATTCATCGGCTGCGATGTGGTGAACATCACTGTTATAATACAGCCAGCGATAGGCACCTGCAGTCAGTCCACAGAATGACTCTTGACTGAACAGAAGAAGCAATTTTGAGGGGTGATAAGGCATGCCATGCTTAGGGACTGCATAGTCCCCCTGGCAGAATAGTTAAGGAATTACAATAAAGAGACAGGTCCACAGTCATTCTTTCAAGTGGCTCTAAACAGTCATGATAATGTGGTATCTGAACTTTTAATGACACCGAAAGAGAAAGCTCTCTGTTGTCATTGCAAATGTTTGCAAAAGCACCTTGAGACAAAAATCCCCGAGAATTTGCTTCAAAATAACCTGCCAGCCACCCATTTGCCAAATATCCTAATTAGACGCATTTACAACAACACTGTCAGGGTAAGAAATGGGATGAGGACTTTTGAGATGATAGAATGGGTGATATACAAATATTTTGGGTGAGACATAATCAGTTAATTGGTTTATTAAATTATAAAACCATTGTTTGCCTGAAAGAGCAATAAAACTAACGAAATGAATAGTTACCCCTTTGAAGACTTCTTACATTAATTATGTTTTTGCATCACTTGCAGCAGCAGTGTTAGACAAAGGGCTTTTTATCTTTACATGCCATAGCTACAATGTATTGTGGCACAAATGATGGCACCGACTTTATGTCTACATAATTACAGAAATCTTATCCCTTTTGTGTTTGCACATCATTTTCAGTTTTTTGGAATAGTTAAACTCCATTTTACTTTTTAATAACATTTTAGAAATCATTGTGATTCAGGTAAACAGAATTTGATTGCTTTGATGGATTGAAAATGGTTAGCTCAGCCTGAGTTTATTTGATTTGTTTCTTCAGGGATTACAAAGAATAGGATTTTATCTCCAGACTGACAAAAGAGACAAACTCTGCATTTTTGCCTATGCGGTGGCAGAGCTGTTAAGCCACAGCTCCCCTATAGGGAAATATATTAGGCAGGGGCTGGATTTTTATTCACGACCTGCATTTTCATTCCATCATACATTGGGTGGGTGGGGAGAAGGTGTACTTCACCCTTATTTTGCTTAGGAGATTTTTTTTCTTTTGTAGTAAAAGACAATCTGGGTGATTGCATGGCACTAAATACAACGGATCCCACGGAGACAATTTGATGCAACAACGCCTGTCCTTCTTACTAATAGTCACTTTAGGCAAAGGCCCATCTGCTAATTGAACGAG